GATTCGAACCCACGATCTTCGGCTAGATACGCCGCTGCTCTACCACTTAAGCTATCGTGACCTCGATCCACTCGGACATCAACTTCTTATCTCAACTCAAGTGGTAGAGCAGCGGCGTATCTAGTCGAAGATCGTGGGTTCGAATCCCGCTCGTGCCATTAACTTTTTTTCATCTCAACTAAAAACGTTAATTACTTTTTTGTATTTTATTTTTTTTGACAGAGGCATCCGACAGGTTGGTCATTTCAGCCCCGAAGCACTAACAAAATACCGCTACACACTCGATACTCAATCACACCAATAAATACATTCATACCTACATACATTGATCGACTAATACTGTTTGGTAGATGGAGTACTCGATATTCCTCCATCCACCGGTTCACGACATAAACTACTCTAATTTGGGGTCGATGGGGTACTTTAAAAGTTTTCCGCCATAGACCCAAGGCACGCACGCAACATGAGGGGCGATGGAAATGCTACTTCACCATTAGCCTCTCTCCATTCACACCAATAAATACATTCACACCAACATACATTGCACTCATTCTGTTTGGTAGATGGAGTATTCGTTATTCCTCCATCTACCTGCTCCCATTTATTGTTATTAATTCGATTAGGTTTGGTGGTCCGATTGACCAAAAAAATTCTTTTCTAAGATAATTAATCGATCTTTAAGTAAGGTATTGGTTGACATAAAAGAGGAAAATATGAGGGAAAATTCAAAAGGTGAGGTTGAGTTGGGAGGTTGGTGTTCGAGTGGATCGAAGTCACGTTAGCTCAAGTGGTAGAGTAGCGGCGTATTTAGCCCAAGGTCTCGGGTTCGAATACCGCTCGTGACACTGATTTTTTTCTCATCCAATACCTTACTTAAAGAATAATTATTATTAATGCTAATTTAATATAAATTTATTTATTATTAATTATAATTAATTTGATTATATTCTTTTATTTTATCGTTCTTTAGCTACTGTCAGAAGGTAAACAAAGTTCTGATTACAGAATTTTATTTACGGCTTCTCATAAACTATTCATTTAAAATATCATGTTATAAAAAAATAACGTACTTATTTATTTTATCTTGTATTTCGAATGGTACTTAAATTTGTATCACGATCACTGTGGTCTGTAAAACACTGACAGGTTTGACTGGTTCGCAACCTTGCGGGTCTTAACTGTGGAACAGTTTTGAAAGAGTGGTAGACGCCAATTTGAAATTATACTCCGGTTGACGTCATCTCACATTGAAAGCGTTCGCGACAAATAACGCGGACCTAGGATCAAGGAAACAGAAAATAATCACCTTGTAACGAAAGGAGAATAAAATTCCGAATCGGCTCTTGGACGGGCGTTAAAATCACCGTCCAGGCCTCGCAGGCGGAAGTGTTCCGCGATCATTAATGCCCGGGTTTTACTAAATGCTAATCTGACTCGGCCCCATTCATTCCGAAAAGCTATTGTATGTTAAAATCAAATTTGAAAAATAATTTTTTTAAAAATAGTATTTTTAAACTGGGTAACTTTACAGGTGAACATATTCATCTATCTTAAGTCAAATAGGCTGAAGTAAAGTTTACGTTTCATAGAAAGACAACGTACTTTCAAACATGATGATAATACCGTTTTTAAGGATCGAAAGGTAAATAGACAAAAAGAAATTTTGATTTGGATTTACATAGGCTCAAATCGGCAAACATGTGCCGATTGGGCCTATTATCTTCTCGTAATCCTCCGACAATTCCACTTTTGCTATTTACAGTGAGACTCGAGAATCACCCCGGTTGTCGGCAGTCCGGGGACAGACCTCAATCTTATCAATCCAGCCACCCTGGTTATGCTCTGGGTGGGGGAGGTGCTTTCAACCACCTAGGTCAATTAGCACCCAACGCATGCAGTTCCAAACAGTTCGTACTCACGTTCATTCTTAAATACATTCACTCCTATTTACATACCATTCTTTCAATTAGGGTAATGGAAAATTCGATATTCCTCCACCACCATTTACACATATTATACACCAACCTTAATTGAGGGTCGATGGGGTACTCGATATTCCACCATCGACTCACTCGCATCGCACATTCACACTAATATTTATTCACACATTCACTATCGACACAAGCTAGGTATATACAACAGTTATTATTATATATAATAGAACAACCCCTTTCCTCCAACAATCTGAACAGGGGGAGTATACAAGCTCCTCCAAGAATTGTAAAACGGGGACACAAATACTCGCTGCCGTGCCCAAGCACAATTCTCAAAACGGGCGGCATTCCCGCGCGCTCTGTGTTTGGAGCCAAGGAATCGCAGCCTTCAATTATGTGGAACACATCAAGCAACCTTTCACTGCATGACGGACACATACGCGGGCTTTGGCTCAAAGGTAAGTGTCTATGAGTCTACCGGTTGCTGGAGATCTCAGACAAGAGGGTCATCCTTCTTACTTTTTTCATATTACAACTGATAAAAATTCTATGGGATCGGCCAGAATTTGAACCCAGAACCGCGAGCGTGTTAACTACGTGCCGGACGGCCTAACTACATGCCCAGCGGCAAGTTTGATAATTGTAGATATGAATAATATGGCATTTATTTATTAATTAACCTCGGGAATTTTATAAAGGGCTGGACAAATTTTTGTCTTTGTAAATTTCTGGGTAAAATGGGTTTACGGACTCGCAATTTGCTTTCTACATTATTCAGGCTTTACAGATTATAAACGTTAAATTTATTAGAGTAAAAACGTGTTTCTCCGCTCGATTCTGCTATTTAATCATTGGAATTTCATTGAGGTGCAACCTTTACACATATATTACTAATGACCTAATTGAGGGTCGATGTACTCGATATGCCACCATCGACTCACTCCCATCGCACATTCCGCTAATAAATACATTCACTATGAACACAAGCTAGGTTTATACAACTGTTATTATTATATACAATAGAACAACCCCGTTTCCTCCATGAATCGGAACAGGGGACCCAAATATTCGCTGCCGTGCTCAAGGACAATTTTCAGATCGGGTAGCATTCCCGCGCTCTCTGTATGGAGCGAAGGGATCGCACCCTTCACTTAGGTGGGACAGATCGAACAACCTTTCTCTGCATGCCGGGCACATACGCGGCTTGGTTCAAAAGTAAGTGTCTGTGTCACAACCTCGCATTAATAATAATTAATCGGGTGAGGATGATTCTTCTTATACCAGTCAGATCCTGCGAAGGCTACCATCGACGGTGCTCTTGATACTCGAGAGCTTTTCTGTCGATCCGTCCCATTGATGCAGCCACCTTCTTTTAATCATGTTTTTTATTGCATTCGCGTCAGAGGGCCGGATGGTTAGTTAAATCCGAACTTTGGGACGTCCCGGCCTTAGCCGTCTCGTCCCTACAAAAAGAAATTGAAGAAAAATTTTACACATTTATTATAAAAAGTGCTCATAAAATTGATCTCTAAAACATAACATCTCCAACTCTCCTTGGGTTCTTTGTTATTTGTATTAATAATTATTCATTTATTCGTGTAAATATTTAATTAATTTATTTTAACCACGCGAAGGTTGCAACGTACAAGCTGTTGGTCCTTGGTAATGTATCCGGTCTAGTGAATTGATAATCTTCTTATAGATTCTCTACAATAAAACATTTCAATTCCCAAGATTTTTAGGAAAATACTGCAGATGTGAGTGAAGAGCACTTCTACATTTATGTTTTTCACAATTAGCTTACAGTTGGTAATTTTAATTTTTACCGGAATACTGACTCGAAGCTCATCCACGCGTGCTTTTTGGAATACTTAATTCTTTCATCAAACTTCAGTTTGCAAATCAGCGGTCCTAGAAATTTCTGCACATTTTTTTTTCCAAAGGGTCTAACGAGAAAGAACAAACAGGGGAAGTTCGATCAGTACACCTCTCGGTCCTGTACCCTTTTATGGGCAATATAAAATTGTCAAAAATGTGTATCCATGAGCAATGAATTAAGGCGTCGGTTCAAAGAGACTATATTCCAGGGCAGAAAGTGGACCTCATAGGAATTTCTTTATCAAGCCTTAGTGAATTTCCTTCATCCATAGTACCTGTCAGATGGTAGCTCAACTGATTAAAAATACTGAATATAGTTTGGAACGGAGATCTTATTTAAGAACCCCCGGGGAAAGGTCCACGTGACATATTCGTCCGTCTTCAGGGACTTGATGTATTTGGGACCGCGATTATCCCTTTCCTCCGTCGGCTTCTTCATGCACAAGTCTACGTGCTTTTACTTTTATTTATCCGAAATCAATTCATTCCTTGTTCCTTACTGCAGAACGAAATATGTTAAGTATTCCTTCTTTTAGAATCATGGAGCTAGGTAATCAATTTAATGATATTGATTTACTTATCGTCTTTATTTATCGTCTTATCAAGAAGTATTGTTAATGAGTTTACCCTTTGTAAATTATTTTTACTCTCTATTTCTCTCTTTCTTTAGATGTAAGAGTGGTTCTCGAGACCAAATCTTACATTATGTATGAGATTATATAAATAAAGCGAAATCTCTCTCTCTCTCTCTCTCTCTCTCTCTCTCACTCTCTCTCTCTCTCACTCTCTTTCTCTCTTTCAAATCGGTTAACTAGTTATGTATATATTTTTGTAACTTTTTACCTTTTTTCTTGAATTTTATTTGCTCATTTACTATGTTTTCTGACAATATTATGTTACCCCACATCGTAAACCCCACTGATCCTTTTTATGATTTTGTATAAATATTCTAGGTTTTTGCTGGTCAGAGTACCTATTGGAATAGAACTATTTTGAACCGATTTATTGTAGTTTGTTATTTCATCTTTGGTTATGTGTCCTTGCAAAAAGTCTTAAGAGAAAAATGTTACGTGTGAAAAAGTTTTGTATTGTGCTGAATTCGTGGTTTATTGATACATCAGTTTTATACGGTAATATATATAAAATTGTTTAAAAAAAGAATAGACAAGTGTAAAGAAAAACAAAACACATTTTTGTGAGGCCGTACCTCATTTTAATTATAATATAAAAATCGTTAAATTATAAAAATATTGATAAAAATTGGGAACTTTTAGTAAGACTCTTTGTTGACTTAGTGATGACCCCACCTGTTGTTGGTTCCGAGCTGAGAATGAGCTGCGAAATGGGCGGCTTTGGCGGCGGCGACTTCGGGGGTGTCGACGGGGAGACCGGCCTGCTGGTTGCTGTTCCAGCTGGGAGCTTGGTTGTAGTTTTGGTTAGGATTCCATGCGGGTTGGGCCGGAGGATGGTTCCATTGCTGATTTTGGTTCCACGACTGCTGGGCTGGGGCCTGGTTCCAGGAAGGAGCAGCAGCGGGGAGCTGGGTGATGTGGTTTCCGGAACTGTAAAGAGTGAAGTGCCTGGCGCGTTCGGCCTGAACTTCAGGGGTGTCCTGGACAGGAAGAGGAGCTCCGTTGCTGTCGAAGCCCGGGGGTAGGGCGAGGGGTCCGGTCCACGGCTTCTGAGGAGGATTCCAGCTCTGCTGAGGCTGCTGGTTCCATTGCTGGCCTTGGTTCCACTGCTGCTGACCCTGATTCCAGTGTTGCTGTTGCTGGGGGGCTGAGACGCGAGCGAGAGCTGCGAGGTGGGCAGCTTTGGCAGCGGCGACTTCGGGGGTGTCTTGAGGGACTCCGGCTTGGCCCCAATGTTGGGCGGCTCCCAGGCCGATCACAGATAATACAACCAACTATAAAACAACAGACATTTTTATAACAAGTCTAATAAAACACACCTCAGTGTATATTTACCAAAGACTTCATTGTTCACCTCCTCACAGCTTGGTAGAGGACTGTCGAATGATGTCGGAAAGGACGAATGAGCTATATATACCTCGACCCGCTAGAGCCGCTTGACCGTGACACCCCACCATTTCTTCTACATAGTCAATAATAATCTCATTTCCTAGGTTCGATTCATCTTTCTTTCTTACATCCCTTTATAGAAAGAATTAATAAAATTAATAAAAAATTCCAGATTGGGGTTATAATGACCTTTTTCATTCATAATATTCGTACAACCTGTTTCGTACAACACTTCCGTTTAAAGTTACACTTACGCGCACGCACACTACGCTCACCCTGACTGGTTTAACATAATTTACCATAAGGATGTAAAAAATAGGTAAATATTTGCCATAATCAAAATTAAAAAAAAACATGTTTAGTTTTAAAAATCGATTTTTAATCTATCATTGACTAAAAAATTTTTGTAAATAAATAAATGTGCTGTATAAATACAATTAATATTTTGATATATATAATGACACAAAAGGATTTTTTCAAAATTTTATAGAAGAATGATTTTATCGTCGTTATTGAAAGAAAAACAACTATCGAAAAAGTAATTAATTCAATAATCTTTTTTTAACATTGATTAAATAATTTTTACCAAGAATTAATGAGAGTATGGGAGTTTAAGAAGAGAATGTCAGTAAGATTTTCCATTTCACGGTCATGGGTGAAAGCAAATTGAACATTTGTTAAAATAATCTCAAGGACCTAAGTACTTATGTTCCCTTTCACACTGGGCCATAATGAAGATAGCCAATGCAGACGAATCGAAGAACCTCCGACGAACGGTGACTCAATGCGGTCTAAATTACACGACGATACCCAAGGGGAAATGCAATTTATTAGAAGGAAATCATTTAAGGTTAAATATAATAAAACTTAAAGATATTTTACATTTAAATCACTGGTAATGAATGCTCTGAGATTGGATATTTCATAAAGTTTTATGACAATGAAGAACTTAACAGGTCGAGTTACTGCTACATATCTGAGAATAACACATGTATTAGTATGTATCGACACATATTAAACTTACACTTCTGATATTCATAAATAGTTGTGACAGTTATTTTCCCATAAGCTAACTATTTTTGATTTTTTAAAAATTTGATGATTTACTATTCTAACATTTAGATAAATTAACACATATTTGATCATTTAAGTTTATAGTGCCTGTACTAAACAGTTATTCAAGTTTTTTTCAAATTATATTAATTATTTTGCAATCTAAATTTATCCTTTTGTAAATCAAGTATGGCTACATATAATTATATTCTTTATATGAAAAACATCAAAAAAATTTAATTAGTTTAAAAAAAAATCAATTGAGAATGGTCTTATAGAAATTATAAAAATATAATAGAACATCACGTTTCCATAGTTACGTTTGCTCCACCAATTTAAAAATAATTTTTGCCATCAACTCGAATGGATTGACTAATCCGCTAATAAACCATTTGAAAAAGCAAAATTTCATTTTAAAATCTTTTAAAAACCTAATGTTTCCTGCAATATGTTCAAGTAGAGCTTTTAGTTATAAAAATACCATTTAATTTTTAGTTGTAAAATATTTGTTGAATAGTTGATTACTTTTTTTAGCAGACACTAACATGTGTAACAAAAGCGTTCAATTAATTTGCAAAGGGATGAATTTGCTTTGCGAAAAGTAGAATGTAATTTGCAAAAGAGTGAATTTGATTTGCAAAATGGTAAAACGTATATGCAAAAGCGTGACTACAATTGCAAATGGGTTAAGTTGATTTGCTAAACTGTAAAATTGTTTTTTATTTATATTTATTAATTGTTGGATTTTATTTGCAAAAAGGTAAACTTATATTTGGAAATAGGTGAATTTAATTTGCAAAAGGGTGAATTTTATATGCAAAATGGTGAATTTAATTTGCAAAAGGGGGAATATTATATGCATAATGGTGAATTTAATTTGCCAAATGGTGAATTTTATATGCAAATTAGTAAATTTAATTTGCAAAAGGGTGAATTTTATTTGCAAAATGGTAAATTTAATTGGTAAAAAGGTGAATTTTATATGCAAAATGGTAAAATGTATATGGAAAAGCGTGACTTCAATTGCAAATGGGTTAAGTTGATTTGCTAAACTGTAAAATTGTTTTTGAAAAGAACAAATATGCTTATTAAAAGAGTGTATTTGATTTGAAAAAGGTGAATTTTGTACGAAAAAGGATAAAATAGATTTGTAAAAGGGTGGATTTTATTTGCAAAAAGGTAAACTTATATTTGGAAATAGGTGAATTTAATTTGTGAAATGGTAAATTGTTTGCAAATTCGTGAATTTAATTTGAAAAAGGGTGAATTTTATATGCAAAGTGGTGAATTTAATTTGCAAAAGGGTGAATTTTATATGCAAAATGGTGAATTTAATTTGCGAAANATATTTATATAATGTTAGCACGCAAAGACACAGCCTGTCATCCTGTCTGTTGTTTCTACGTTTTTGTTACTAAAAAACAGTTTGTTCAATGGCCTATCACGACACATGATAGATTTTTAATTTAAAGTATGTTTTTTTGGTATTATTAACGTAACTGCTTTAAACTTTGGACTTTAAGGAAGAAGTAGTTTAGCACAGGAAAAATATATAAAAAATTCTTTTGAAAAGGTTTTAAAATTAGAGAAACGACACAAACAGCAACCGTTTCTTGTTTGCAATTGACAAATATTCCGATTGTGATCAGGATTATCAGATATTACAATCGAAAATTCTCCGACGAAATCTTTGATCAACATTCGCGAACAAAACAGCCATTAGCCCTCGAAATTCCAATGATTAAATAGTAGAATTGAGCGGAGAAACACGTTTTTACTCTAATTAATTTCACGCCTGTAATCTGTAATTCCTCAATAATGTAGAAAGCAAATTGCGAGTCCGTGAACCCATTTTACCCAGAAATTTAGAAAGACAAATATTTGTCCAGCCCTTTATAAAATTCCCCGAGGGAAACTCATCAGTTATGTCATACTATTTATGTCTACCGTCATCAAATTTGGCGTTGGGTATGTAGTTAGTTGCCGTCCGACACATATTTAACACGCTCGCGGTTCTGGGTTCGAATTCTGGTCCAGCCCATAGAGTTTTATTCAGTAATAATATGAAAAACGAAAAAAGGATGATACTTTTGTCTGAGACGCCCAACGGGAAGGATAATATTAAACTCTCTTGTGTGGCAGAAATTACTTTATTTTATTTAATTATTTAGCTGTTTAGATGCAAAATATTATTTTCCTCATAAGTCATAACTCATTATTAAAGAGCGGTTGACACACGGACACGCACTTTTGGGCTAAAGCCCGCGTTTGACCGTCATGCAGGTTGCTCGATATGTTCCACCTAATTGAAAGTTGCAATTCCTTGGCTCCATACAGAGCGCGCGCGGGAATGCCTCCCGATTTAGGAATTGTGCTTGAGCACGGCAGCGAATATTTGGGTCCCCGTTCCGATTCGTGGAGAAGCTCGTGTCGAAGTGAATGTATTTATTAGCGTGAATGTGTGATGCGACTTGGTCATCATGGTGGAATATCGAGTACATCGACCCTCAATTAGATCAGTTGTAATATATGCGTAAAAGTTGTGTTGAGAGTGAATGTATTTATTAGCCTGAATGTGTGATGTGAGAGGGTCGATGGCAGAATATCGAGTACATCGACCCTCAATTAGGTCAGTTGTAATATATGTGTAATTGAATGAACGGTATGTACATAGATCTGAATGTATTTAAGAATAGAGAGAGTAGAATGGATTTGGTGGAATTCTGTGCGTTAGTGGCTGAATTGACCTGGCTTTAGGCTAATACTCCTGGGAGGTAAATTTCCTGTGGACTACGAGATGCCAGTAAGCTCAACTCTGCACATGTTAGTATGACGTACGTACATGTACGGATTTGAGCCAATACGAATCCAAATCCAACGAAATTATTAAAGACCGGATCCCGGTTATCCGATTATAATGAAACCAAGACAGAAATTCTACCAAAATGCTCACAGTGACGATCTTCTGCCAGTATTATTATTCTGCCTGAAATTGAACGTTTTTACGTTTCACTGCGGAAAATTCCATTTTGTTCTATTGTTCATATTTATTATTTTTTTATGCATACAATCAACATGAAATTATTTTATTATAATCATTTTTATCAGTTTTCAGTTAGTAAACGAATCGAGGATAAAATCTTTTTTATAAGTTTTGAACTTCCGATGTTTAAAATTCTCCAAGAAATATTTTTACACTTGAAACACGCCCTTCTGCTCAGTTCCTTCACGCGCGCATTTCACACTTTTCATTTCAGCAAAGCGGAGTCGCTTCAAAAATACGTTTGTTATGTTTATAATACCGGATATAGGACTGCTCAGAACCGAAGATCGATTGCCGAATTTTTTAAACTCTCGTTAGAAAAGAGTCTTAACAGTAATTCAGTTTTCAATTTTAGTTCGTACTACAAAATGTTTTGAAAACAAATAAAACAACTAATTTCAGTAAGGAAAATGAGAGCAAAATATGTTTTACATTTATTTATATTTCACAGCGTTAATTTTTTCAATCTAGTTGTACATTTTTAAAATTAATTATAAAATTTAGTTGTATATTTTTATTTTAAAATGAATATAACCGAGTGACTATAAAATAAACAATTAATCGTAAACAAAGTTCGAGATAATAATTTATTTTATTAGGAAAATAATATTTTTACTATGTATAACGGGAGTTTTTATCTTTACTACACATTTTTGCACGATTTTGAAGTTTTTCAAGTTTTTGCATATTTCGAGGATTTTATTCCTTGTTTTAACTGCCGGTCTTTTTTCATAACCGTCCGTCATAGTCAGCATCGCAGTTTTCTGACCTAAGTGATCAGTCGTACCGAATTGAACCAGGTCGAAGGTAACGCTGATCTTGGCTTATTGTAGAATCGGCTTCTTTTCAAAGATGGAACGACTTTCCAGAATTACAACCCGTTCCCTTCGGATTTCTTTGTTTCACCCATTTTATCGAAAGGGAATTCTCTTGTCAACTTTCCGAACGAATTCA